GTTTGATAAGTTGAAATAGCGGTTCACACCCAACCTAAGGACATACACTGTTATGCTCAACGGTTGGTGCCGGGTGAGGAACCTGATGGAAGCAGCTAGAATCTGGAACGATATGATTGATCACGGCTTTAAACCCGACATTGTGGCTCACAACGTTATGCTCGAGGGATTGTTGAGGAGCAGGAAGAGATCTGACGCGATTAAGTTGTTCCATGTCATGAAGTCGAAGGGCCCTTCCCCTAGCATTCGCAGTTACACGATCGTGATCCGTGACCTCTGCAAACAGTCAAAGATGGAAAGGGCTGTTGAGTATTTCGACGAAATGCTCGATTCTGGATTACAGCCTGATGCCGCAGTCTACACATGTCTGATCACAGGTTTCGGAACCCGTAAAAGGCTAGACAGAATCTATGAATTACTCAGGGAGATGCAAGAAAAGGGTTATCCTCCTGATGGTAAAACATACAATGCGCTAATCAAGATAATGACAAGTCAGAAAATACCCGAACACGCAACGAGGATCTACAACAAGATGATCCAGGACGGGGTCGAGCCATCGATTCACACGTTCAACATGATAATGAAATCCTACTTCCTGACAAGAAACCACGAGATGGGGAGAGCGGTGTGGGATGAGATGATCAAGAAAGGGATTTGCCCGGACGACAACTCGTACACCGTTCTCATCAGAGGGCTCATAAGCCAGGGGAAATCGCGAGAGGCATGTAGATATCTGGAGGAAATGCTTGACAAAGGAATGAAGGCTCCTCAGATTGATTACAACAAGTTTGCTGCCGATTTTTACAGAGTCGGAAAACCGGAAATATTCGAGGAATTGGCTCAGAAGGCGAAGTTCGCCGGCAAGTTTGCGGCATCGGAGATCTTCGCTAGATGGGCTCAGATGACAAGAAGAAAGTTTAAAGAGAGATTCATGGAAAACCGAGAGAAGCATTTCTGAGGGTTTTCTCTATTTTGTGTCATGTGTTTTTATATATTGTTTTGTGATTCATAACTTCATGTTGTATATTATTTTTTCAGTTTAACAGAGAGAGATTGTGAGACGCAGCTCAAGTGACAGAATAGAGGAAGAATCCAATATGGTTTAGCTTTAATCATAAGTCTGAAACCAAACAATGCAGACAGAGGGCAAAACACGAAAATTGAAATCCCCTTGTGAGCTATAATGACCGGACAGAACAAAACTTTGGAACATTGGCTTAAGAAAAGTGAATGCCAGCCTTGTTGAACAAGGAGAGGAGATACAAAAACTCTTGTTGAGATAGTTTAGAAGATCTCTTGTCTTCAAAATCACCTTCTTTCAACACGTTCGATACTTTCTCCTTGAACTCAGACACCTCTCCATCTCCTTCTCCGTCGTCCATCTCCATCTCATCATCCACTTCATTGTCATCGTCATCATCAATCCCCATGCTCTGGTCACCAAAATCTGACACATTCATAGACTCTCCCGTTGACCCACCACCGTTCTGTGAAGCTTGCAGCGCCTGAAGCGTCTTGTAGTTCTTCTCAAGCAATGAGAGGACGTTCTTCTGTCTGAAGATGGATCCTAGGGTTTTGTTCTTTCTGATGAAACAGATTCTTATGAACCCATCCCACTCCTTGGAGTTCACCTGAGGACGAGGCTTCCTGGGCTCGATTCTGACAACCGAGGAATCCACTTTCGGTGGTGGGCGGAAGTTGTTCTTCCCGACTTTGAGGAGGTGAGAGACACGGGCATAGAGCTGAGTGTTCACAGATAGACGGCAGTAGAGGTTGTCACCGGGCTGGGCGACGAGTCTCATAGCGAATTCCCTCTGGTACATTATCACGGCGCATCTGAAGCTAGTTGGATGAAAGAGCAGTTTGAATGTGAGGGGAGAAGATATTTGATACGGGATGTTGGCCACGCATATATCGAAATGCGGAAGCTCCGTCTTGAGTACATCCCCTTGGATGACCTACATTAAGAGAGAACAGGATAAGATTGAGGAACAATGAGGTATTGTCACATCTGCAATCACAATCGCTTCTCTCACGAATAGGATCATTGATGCTAAAAACTTAATCGAACCCTACAGGCACCACCATGAGTATATACCGGAACTCACAAATTCGGAGATACCAGAACTAAATCTGCTCATCATAACTATTATGTTCTGCGTTCATCTATGGTCATTGTGCTAAGGTCCCTGACTTAGTGTCGGACTAACCATCAATTGCGGGTTAGAATATCAGATTCAACAAGGAAATAAAATTCCACGAAAGGTAAGAATTCCCGGTTCTACTACCAAAAAACTCATAAACCAGACAGAGAAATTGTCACGGACCTTCAATCGACTAGAGTAGGGAGTTCCCTGGAACCGGCGCTGCAGCTCGAGAACCATACGAGGATCGAGCTCGACGGCGATAACTTCTTTGCCGGATTCTAGAAGCTTCTTCGTCAAGTTTCCGGTACCGGGACCGATCTCGAGGATCACATCGGTGCTCTTGATTCCAGCTTTCTGGACGATTGAATCAACGAGAAGAGGATTCTTGAGAATGTGCTGACCTTTCGATTTGTGGAAGGATATGCCTCCTTGGTAGTGGTTCGACGGAGCTCTATTCCCCTTCGGCTTCTCCTTCTTCATCTTGCCTCCAGCCATTGTTGCGCGACGTCACAATCAGGTCAAGGAAACTTAGGGTTTAACAGCCACCTTAGGCTAGAGATTTAGGGGAAGCAAGTACCGTTCGATCTGGACGGGGAGCAGGGAAAGAATAAGTGAGGTTCTCAAACAATACCAAACCCTAGGTTTTTGTGTAATAAATTTAAAAACTATGGATAAAATCGTAATTTACCATAGTCCAAGTCACGCTGAGAACGAGTGGTGATTCCTAGGTCCCTTCGTAATTTCTCTAAACATTAAGGAGCACAATGTAATTCACTGTTACTTCCCAGCTATTAGGTCCATATTTAGTCAACTCTGGATCAATGGGTTAACTGAAAATTTGACCCAAATGTTTTAGAAACAACCCAATTAGATCCATATTTTAAAACGCATTGGTCTACGAAATGATTCGGCCCGAAAGATTGATAGAACCAATTGATCCAAACTATTTCCAAAACCGAATCGGCCCAATTATGACCCTATTTTGAAACGACTTGACTAATCGGACCGGAATATAATTCGTTTTTCAGATATATTCAATTAGTGCATTTAACCAAAAAAAAAATCAAATACATATTTACATAATCACAACGTTAAACATTTTTTCTACCCTTCAATTTAGATTTTTATGCGATGTAATATAAGTTGTGTACATGATACAAAAAAATATACTGTAGTTTTTATTAAATTGTGTCGAAATATTACATTTCAAGAACTTGCGTTAATATCTGCCAAAAAGGATAAGTTACGTTCATCTCCTGCTAAAAAGAAAACTTATATGTATTATATATAGATAGAACCATATGCTTTCCATGTTTTAGTCACCGAAGAGAATATTCTACCCAAGCCCACAGAAATAACAACATGCTTATCTTTCCATAAATCCAGCTGGAAAATTAAAGATTACTAATCTAATTACCCTAATTCGTAAATACAGAAGTAATTACCTAATTCTTTGTTTGAATAAAAATAAATAAATAAAATCTCTGGCCAGCTAATCACTCTCCCTATATAAACCCTCTCTGGGCGGCGTGAATGTCTTCTCCGTTCTGGCTTTCGTTTCGAGCCTCTCTATCTATCGGCGTCACGATCAGCTAAGTCGTCTTCTCTTCAAATTTCCCTTCTCTTCCTTTCGATTTTGATCCGGGAGGGTTTCGTTTCGTTTCGTTTCTCTTCTTCCTGATTTCGATCTCTCTTCCGTGGTGAGATCTGTCCGAATTCGATCTAGGGTTCTTTCGTTGGGATTTTGATTATTGTATTTGGGGTTCGGCAGATGAATTAGGGATCCGGGCAAATGCAAATGATTCTAGATTTTCTCTGAGCTACGCAATCCTAATGCGTATGATTTGTATTATGCATTCCTTCTCGGTCGTGTTCCTCTACTGGTTCTACGTTTTCTCAGAACTGATCTGATCTGATTCTGGCGATTGTGATTTTCGTAAAATTCGTTTGATCTGACTGAAATTCTTTGTTAAGTTTAGGTAGCGGGACGTAAATCCTTTGTAAAATCTGATAAATAAACCCAGTTAGGGTATCTAGTAGTATATATTATCGTCGAATTTTGGGGAGAAGGAAGAAAAACCTGTTGAAGTCAGCATATGGCACCGATTCAGAGGCAGATGAGTCCGGAATCGGAACTTGAACCGAGGTACGCGACCATCACGGACGAGAGGAAGAGGAAGAGGAGGATTTCCAACAGGGAATCTGCTAGGAGGTCTCGGATGAGGAAGCAGAAGCAGATGGAGGACCTGATCAATGAAGTCACCGCTCTCAAGAACGACAACTCCGACATTTCTAAGCAGATTGATGCAGCTACCAGGAGGTGCAACGAGATGGAGGCTCAGAACAACATTTTGAGGGCACAGGCCTCGGAATTGACCGATAGGCTGAGATCGTTGAACTCGGTTCTGAGAATGGTTGAAGAGATCAGCGGGCTGGCTTTGGATATTCCCGAGATTCCGGAATCTATGCAGAATCCATGGCAGATTGCTTGCGTTTGAGTTCTGACGGGGAGTTCCCAAGAAGCTCAAGGTTGTGTCTGGGTCTGTTAGGCTTGGTCACTAGGTAATGTCTCGTGTCTTGTTAGTGTGTTTGCTTCGCAATTTGTCCATTCCAATTCTTGTGTCTGATGTTCTTCTTGTTTTGGTGCATTTGGATCATTGCCCATGTCTAAGCAACAAATCCTTATGCTATATCATAAGATTTGATTTCAAAGTATAAATAATAAAATTTCCGGGAAAGTTCGTGTGTATGTATTGATTTCAAAGCACAACAGAGAGAAAAAAAAATTACCCATCACATGATAACATATATGGGACCGTCTAAACAGTCCACAACATACAGACCACGTATGTAAAGTAAGGAAACATCATCAGTTATCGTAGGTACGGCACTCGTCGGTCTCGGGGTTGTCCTTGCAATAATTCTCGAGAGGATCGTTGCCACCGGCCTTCTGCTTGTCTCTGGCGTGGCTGGCCGCAGCGCTCAGCTCCTCGACCTCGTCCCACGCCGCCACGCACTCCCCGCTCTTCGGGTCATCGGCGCATGTCTCCTTCGCTTCCTCTATGCTCTTCTCCACCTTCTCCGATATCCTGTCCGGCGCCGCCCTCACGCGTCGGGCTTCCACCAACCGGGTCGACCCGGACCCGGACCTCCACGGATAGTTCAGACGGACCGGACCCGCGAGGCGAGCCCGGGTTGTGTTGTTGGCCACCACTCGCGGGGTCGCGAGGTTGAGACTTGCTATGGTTGCCATTTCCCGACTATTGAAAGATCACGCCTTTTTTTCCTTTACGAAAGAAGAAGAAGAAGAAGAGATATTAGCTGGGAGAGCAGGGAAGAGATGATGATATATAGTGGTGGTGCATGTATTGATTTATGTGAACCAAAATCTCTTATCATCTTAAGGCCAATCATAAGCTTACACGTAGCGAGAGGTCGAGATATTTTCAAAATATTCCGCCGAACCAAAGAAATCAAATATTTTAATACGCTTTTGCCTTTTTTCAATAATATTTTAGAACCCGGTATTAGCAACGTTGTCCACAATTTCAGCCGTTAGCCATTTATTTATTTGGCAATAATAAATATATTGTACGAAATATTCGGCGTCGGAGATCGATACACATCATGCGCATATAGATATTACGCAGCGACTGTTGGGCCTTAGCCTGGGCCCACTAAGCTATGTTAATGCGCATACCAATATTTCTCTTTATAAATTCCAAACAACTTTGCAGAGACTGCCAAAGAAAACTTGCAGTTAAATTTATTTCTTACAAATCCCATCTGAGATTTCTGGAAAAAACAAAACACGGGGGAACGAGATAATGAAAAACCAATGCAGAAGCTGCCCAGTTGATACTAATGGAGTGAGAAGAGAGGGTTCTTTTCTACTGCTCTTCGGAGGCAACAACGCTGATCTCACCCTTCTCGAGCAGATCATAGAAGGCTCTTGTTTTCCTCTGCTCGTTCCAGTGATGCATCTTCCACAAGCTACCAGCCGCCAACCCGAGGGTGATACCAATCACTATCTCTTTCACGACGCTCGGTCCTTTCAGGGTGGCGTGAGCGATCTTGTGGCCAGCCATCTCTTCTTTCTCTCCTCAACCTTTTTCACAATGCCCTGCTGCCACATTGATTATCAAGGTGGCATTAGCCGAGTAAAGATATCGATTCCTATACGCTAATAACGTGCCCGAAATTATAGTCTAAAATATCTTTGAAACGCATGATTGTCTCTTGGTGTGTATATCTACACACATGGCCAAGGACATGGTCTTTGGTTTCCTGCTCCAGAAAATAGCATGACCAAAACAAAGGTTCCCAACCACAAACCTAAAGACACAGTCGAAGTGCTGATGATGCATATTGAAAAATAGGTTATTTTCAGAATATCAAACATAAAAATGCAAGGACACACGCATAAACCAAAAAATGCAGGAAAACACGTATCTCTATAAACCATTATACTTTCCGCACTCTTTTACATATGCGCATTCAAATATCTTCCAAATAATGGATCTTTCAATATGTTTGTCTTCTGAACCAATCACAAGACTCTAGAAAAAATGCTCTTAAGATTTGGTTTACAACAACCCTTGCAAAAAATATAAAATTCCACCAAATCATCTCCGAATAACCACTGAAGAAATCGAATCCAGGAATCTAGAACCAATCCCTTAGATCCCAACCACGCGAAAATGGATCGATTCGAATCAGATAAGGTGAGAACTCAAAGACAAAATCCAGGGATATCTATCAATATAAACGGATCAAGAGAAACCAGAATCCGAGAAATTCAAGGTTCTCGAGAGAGAGAGACGATGGTAGAGAAGTAGGGTTTACCTAATCGAGGTGCTGAGGGAGACGACGGGAAACAACCAACAGAACTGCGGCACCAAATGATGGATCAGGAGGACACGGGACGGCAGCACTGCTCGCTATACGTGGATTCATTCATCCCAGTTATTGGGCCGGTGAATGGATCTGGCCCATGTTTGTCCAATTTGCGGCTTCATTTCAGCCCATCAAGAACTATAAAAATAAATGGATTGTTTCAAATGAAATGTTTTAAGAACATTATAAGACTATATATATATATATATAGATATATATAGAGAGAGAGAGACTCTTTCGAAGCAATAGCCAATTGTGATTTTTTTTTTTGGTTTAAGTAGCCAATTGTTAGTATATCCCAATTTCTAATTTAGCCATATGAAAGTTTAATAGAAAATTCAAAATGATGATAAAAATTATCATATCATACCAATACAAGAATAATTCATATAATAATAGTATGTGCCAATTAGGTTCAAAACATATAGAAAACAGAGAGTAACGAAGAGTTTGCAAGATATTAACGAAGAAAAGTTTCAAAAGAACACAAAATAAAAATTAAATATGGAAAACATGGGCCGTAAATTAAAAAAAAAAAAAGGAAAAGAAAAACAATAAACCTGAACATTGAATATAGAAAGAGAGAGAGAAAAATACAGAAGACTAAAATTTGGAGGGAAAACCTAACAACTGTAAAAGCTAATAAGAGAATAATTTTTATAATCTCGCATATTTATAACGAGTAAAAAAAGGGAAAAAGAGTTGTATAAAGGGGAGGATTCTTCTATTTCATTATATTTTTATTTATAATACAACTGTTTTCTTGCCGTGCATAATTGAACAAATAATAATGTATTTTCAAAATAAAGTAGGAATAAGTAAATCATTTCGATTTAATCGATACAAATCTGGGATGAACTGTCCTATTGTAAACTGGTAAAGTCCAATTTACGGATAGAACCTGAGGCCCAATTCCAATTACCCATGAAAATATCATTTATTTTCGTGGTGGGCCCCGGTTCCCCGTTCGTATGGGTCACCAACCTCGTCTACAAAACGCAGAGTTGGTCGCTTTCTTTACGAAATCGACCGCTCCTTCTCCAAAAATGTCGCCGTCTTTCTGCTCCCTCCGATCCATCGCCGCCGTCTTCCTCCTTATATCCGCCGTCCCCATCGCCTATATTATCTCCCTAGAGCGAGCCTCGCCGGCGACTCACGTCTACTACTACCACAGCTCCGGCTTCTTCCGCGAGTGCGCCAAGTGGGACGACCTTCGCCGCCGCTTCCTCGTCTCCTTCATGGACGGGGGCGTCGGAGAGATCGTTCCCGGCGATGGCGATGCCGTTTTGGAGGAGGTCACTCTGGTCAAAGACGTTGACCTCGCTGGCAACGCCTCCCTCGGCCTCGCTATTGACCGCCACAGGAACCGCCTCCTCGTCGCCGTAGCCGACGTGCTCGGGAACCGGTACAGTGCCTTGGCGGCTTACGATTTGTCCACGTGGCGTCGAATCTTCCTCGCGGAGCTGAGCGGCCGCAGTAAGCTTTTTTTTTCTCTCTCGAATTTGAATGTTCTTCGTTTCAGATAATCACAAGGCGAGTGGTTGGCAGTGTTCGAATCATAGGACATGAGTTTGAATCACTGTAGAATCTGGTTGAATGTTTGTTCCGTCAACAAATAAATACGTAGAAATCTCCTCTTTCACCTAATCATGTAGAGGAGTTATTTCACGGATTCACCATTTTTAGCATTTCCTGAAGCTTGACTCCCGCATAGGCTATAGCCCAGTGGTAATCTCTACGGGTAATCAAGATTATGTCATATTTGTCTGTTGGAACATTTAAGCACTAGAAGATGGGCATTTTTCTCATGGTTCACAATTTCCACGAACTGCTGATGCAAAATTAATTCCGCTCAGGTGGACCACGCTACATAAATCTCCCAACATTCATCAATGGCATTGCATATATACATAATCTGTGCATTACATGCTCTCTGTTTATGGTTCCCAATGCAGACCAGGTGAAATCGTTTGCAGACGATGTGGCTGTCGATGCAGAAGGCAATGCTTATGTAACCGACGCAAAAGCCAGCAAGATCTGGAAGGTCGACGTCCATGGCAAGCTTGTGTCGACCATCAGAGACCCTCTCTTCACTCCAGCTGGGTGGTACAACAATTTGGTTGCTCTGAACGGCATAGTTTATCACCCTGATGGATTCTTGATCGTCATCCACACAGTCTCTGGTAATCTATACAAGATCGACATAACCAATGGAGATAAAGTCACACTGGTTGGTGTTTCTGGTGGGACATTGAGGTTTGGAGATGGGTTGGAGTTGCTGTCTCCCACCAAGCTTGTTGTTGCAGGTAATGGTGGAATGATGAACACTAATGGGGAAAATCCTACTGCGAGAAACGTGAGAATCTTGAACAGAAGTTTTTGGAGAACTTCTGTTTGAGTTTCTCATTATAAACTATTGATTCAACTCGATGAATGGCCCTCATTTGCATACGTTCTGATCATTAAAAATTGAAACTTTTTATTGCAGGGAACCCTTCAGCAAGATTGGTGGAGAGCTCGGACGGATGGGAAACGGCGACTGTGACGGCCAAATTCAGCAGCGGTCTGGTCCACCGTATCGCATCAGCAGCCACTGTGAAGGACGGAAGAGTGTATCTGAACCATATTGTCGGGCTGGGTTACCCTAAGAAGAAACATGCCCTTGCTGAAGCCGTCTTCTTGTCCTGAATGTAGTTTTGACTCTGAATGTATGTAACTTCGAATCCACCCATTTGTTTGATGGAATCACATTGAGATGGAAAGAATTTCATGACAGCGTTTTGACTTGAAATCATCAAACTTTTCAATTTTTACGTACAAGAGGGTTTCTTGTCTATTTCACGTAACATATTTGTTATTCTGCAAAGGGTGATACAAATGAACAATATTGGACCAAACGCGGCCCCAAAACGCAACCACGATCGGTCGAAACGCTGGGCCGAGTCGCTGCACTCATACGGAATAAGGGAGGGTTAATTATGGAAATTAAGACGGCGGCGAGTGGGCGCGTGGCCGTACCCCGGGAAGCAACTCCCACGTTAAATCCTCTGTCATTGGCTAATCATATTTCTAAATTTCGTATTTAAAAATTCCCTCGAATGTTTTTCCCATAGTTTCTCCTTTTTTTTTTGCTTATCTTATTTAATTATAGTATTATTATATGCTCTTTGTTCACGAGCTCGTACGAACGGCAATTTTACTCAAATGACCCATTTGAGTCGCAGCTATTTCAGCGTACACCAACGAAAAAAAATAATTTTTTTTTCAATTTTAACCCATTTTTCGGTTGAAAAAGTCTGAAATACCATTTTCTTTTTATTTTTTGTGACCTTATTACGATTAACATATAACTGATATACAACTAAAATAAGATAGATGATTTTTTTGCCATATTTTTTAGAATCAATTGTAACTTTTTTGCCACCTTTTTAGAATTAATTACGAAGTCGTAATAACGAAGTTGTTTTCGAACGGATAAATATCGTATATTTATTAAGGATAATTTCGTCTTTTCAAAAAAAATTAATGTGATATGTTTTTTTTTTGGAGTGTACGCGGTGAAATAACTGTAAAGAAGTGGGTTATTTGAATAAAAAAACCCCGTACTAACATCGTTGTCCTCCGTCATCACCAAATCCCCGCTGCTAACCATCCCCTTGACGCTAATTTCTCAAGTGTTTCCTCAAAGCATCCATCCAAATCTATGATCTTTGGATTTGATTACCATTTCAGATCATGATTATGATACCTTATGCAGATAAGCTTCGTAATTGTACCAAATCCTAAAGCTCTTGTCTTTACTCTGAGAGAGAGAGATGGAGAGGCAAAGGAGTTTCTCGTTGAAATCTGCGAGAGTTTTTGCATTCATCATCACAATCTCGTCCGCCATTGTTTTTCTGGCCTTCTTCTCCATCTGCTTCATCAAATCTAGCCCTTTGCTTTATACGAGAACCACCAACATTCAGTTCAATGACACGTCTCTCCATTTGAGTCCTTTGCCAACTCCTGTCGGACATAACCTATCTAGATCCACATCCGATTCCTCGGCTTCCTCTCCACAAGTCCCGATTTTAATCTCGACCCGTTTCAATATATCCAAAAATACTTCCGGGTTCGCTAGATTTCCGGATTTCGAGCAGAAGGCACGGGAGGAGACTGTGGTTCAGGACGATGTGGTGAATGGCAATTTAACTTCTGCCGTTCAGGAGGTGACTGTGATTGAGCTGCCGAACAACGTTAGAGAGAAGAAAGAGAAGATAATTGAAGAGTGCGATGTTACGAAAGGGAGGTGGGTCTATGACGTTAGCTACCCTCTCTACACGAATGCATCTTGCCCCTTCATCGATGAAGGATTCAATTGCCGAAGCAACGGAAGATTGGATAGCGACTACATGAAATGGAGATGGGAGCCACAGGATTGTGACATTCCCAGGTAATCTAACCTTCAAGTTTGTTTTTTTCTTCTTGTTCTTGAGATTTCCATTGCGTTTGTTCACGATTCATGTGGGGTAACGAACACTGTGATGGAACTGACCGATAATGATTCTGGGTTCGTACCCAACATGAGCAAATTGATTGGTTTTTTGACCGAGTCGTAAAGTTGTAAACTTTTCTTAAAATATTCATGATTGGGCATTTGGGGTGCGTGTGTGTATCGATGGTGTCGTGATAGGTTCAACGCCACCAAATTGCTGGAATTGATCAGAGGGAAGAGGCTAGTTTTCGTCGGAGATTCGATTAACAGAAACCAGTGGGAATCCATGCTTTGTATGTTATTTTCTGGTATTAAAGACCCCAAGAGAGTATATGAGACACATGGCCAGAGAATCACCAAAAAGAAAGGGAACTACAGCTTCCGTTTTGCGGTATATGGCCGTATCCAAGGCCTGAAGCTTGATCTTTGAGTTTCCGTTTGGTCTTAGTGGTGGTCGTTTGACGTGCTTAACGCGTTTTGTGTCGATTAGGGTTACAGATGCACGGTCGAGTATTACGCGACACATTTCTTGGTTCGTGAAAGCAAATCAAGAATTGGACTGAAGAGACGACCTACTTTGACAATTGATGCGATTGATCGCAGTTCTTCGAGATGGAGAGGTGCTGATATATTGGTGTTCAATACGGCACACTGGTGGTCTCACTACAAGACCAAAGCTGGGTCAGTATCTCTCCTTGTTTTCTGAACTTTGACATCTCAAGAACACGGTTCTTTTGTGGTCCTGATCTGGATCTTGATCAGGAGACACAACATGAAAGCTAGATGATCCTTTTTTTGAACCTGTAATGGCTGATTTTCTCTTGTGTTTATGGGGCCATTTCCCCTCTGTATCGTATCAGGATCTACTACTACCAAGAAGGAAACCAAGTTCATCCAAAGCTTGACGTATCAACAGCTTTCAGAAGAGCTCTCCAGACATGGTCATCATGGGTCGACAAGCACGTTGATCCAAAGAAAACTCGTGTTTTCTTCAGAAACGCGGCTCCTTCCCACTTCAGGTTTTTGCTCGGAAAACGCTCTCTTCTGCACTGTAAAAGAAACCTTGGATCTCTCAAACCGAGAATGTTATTGAACCAGGGGAGGAGAGTGGAACTCTGGAGGTCATTGTACGGAAGCCACCATGCCCTTCAATGAAACATCGAAACCCGACCACTCCGAGAAGAAGAATGGAATTGTCGAGGAAGTGATAACGCAGATGAAAACGCCGGTGACTGTACTGAACATTAGCGGTCTGTCTGAATACAGAATCGACGGCCATCCTTCGGTATACGGAATGAAACCCGAGATACGACGGTCTCAGGCCGTCCAAGACTGCAGTCACTGGTGCCTACCTGGTGTTCCAGATACTTGGAACGAGTTGCTCTACTTCCATTTGCTACATAATCAATAGAACCATAAACACCCTGTTAACTTGTTCGATAGCTTCTGTAAAATGAAATAGAAGATTCCTTTTTGGAAGCACAGAGTTGGTTGGTATTGTTGACTATTTCACGATGACCGTTGAGTCGGTCCAATTTTTTTTTTTTTT